ATATATATATATATATATATATATATATATACAGTATTGTTAATCTGTTCATATTTCTATGTAACTTTTTTAAAGGCAAAATGCTTACACCTAAACTTATACCTTACACCCTTCCCCCCTCCTCTCCCCTCCCCCCCTCCCTCCCCCCTTCTTCACACTTCATTCCACTTATTAATTTTCGTAGGGATGGAGAGGCTGTCATCTCACTAAATTTCGCATGTGTTGATTCATAACATTTTTCCTAAGTTATAGGTAAGCAGAAAAGACACTAAACATGTTGGTCGGCTGAGGCGGAGCGGTTCTAACTACCGTATCATACATCAAGGTGAATAATTTGACGCATGACATAATCGATCTGTTTTGCCTACTGTGTAGGATAGTATCGTTAGATCACACTGCCACCTGCAAGATTGGTTGATGGCGTAGAGCTGGCAGCAGGAAAGAGAAGTCATCCTATTTTTAATTCTCCTTGCTTATATCACGAAAAACGAGGAATTTTCTTTGGACTTTTTTCGAGTCTTCATGTTCATTTGAAGCTTTTTTTTTTCGTTTCAAAACAGCTTTTTTTTTTCAGTTGCCGAAACAACACCAGTTTCAAAAATATATTGAAAAGGATGGGGGAAAAATCCTTTAATCCAGGTTTCCATCAATAATTAAAGCGAACACTTTGTTATACCTTTATGTATATAAGTAGTCTTTCTTTTGTACTTTTTTGTTTTAGACCCATTTTCCAAATATTTTTGATCTTGGAAGGATTATTAATATTCAAAAGTGGCTTTAAGAATAATATTATAGAGATTTGTGTCTTATTACATTTATGTATATGCAGATTATCAACTATCAGTTTTTATCTTTTTCTATGAAAAAGGAACAAATGTGTTAGGTATTACAATAGAGGGCAGAGTACGTCTTATTTACTGTCTGGAAGTGGAACTTTTGAAAAAAGGAGTTTGTTTTTGTGTTATGTGAAAGTTTATTTTGTTTTCGTTGTTTTATTCTTTTCCTGTCAAAGATACTTACTGCTGTTTAAGAAAGAATTAGTTTGAAATGTAAAATTCAGTTTACATTCTACTAGACTGTATTTTACATCTTGATCTATGGAAAATTTTTTTAATAGCCGTAGTGGTGGGTAGAGAACTCGGTAGAGGATTCCTTTTATACAAGTGACGTTTTTATAATTTGGCTTTAGAAGCTTTAAATACAAAAAATTAACCTTAGTTCATCTGATTCATTTGATAACGACTGATTTGTTTTTTAATAGTTGCAATCTGTTTTGTTTTTTAAAACGGGAATTTATTTTGCTCATTAACCTGACTTAATCTTACTGTTTGACATAACTCGATTTATTTTAGCTTACTTGCACTGAGCTGAATGTTTGATAAATAATCTGTTTATTCAGGAATATACTGGGCCAAGATTAGTTAATTCTGCGTTGTTTCGGATTTATTGTAAATTCTGAAAGCAGTTGTTACAGTTCAAATGCGATAGTCGATGTTGCGTTTTCTCCGGAGTCACATACATCCTACCGGGGATTTCAGGAACGCAGATATCCACGACTTTTTTGAATATACTCCTGTTAGTGATGCCTCATTGGTTATTTCTTTCTGTCATTTGTCTCTTATAAAATATCACCTCATTATTATAAGTCTTGTGCTGGTCAGTTTTATTCCTAAACTTTTTCTCCTTGTTTGACTTTTTCCTTACTCTCTTTAATTCAGTAAGTTTCTGAAATTGTTCATTTATGTGAATTAAAATTCAAAATATGTAGAACCAATGTTTTTCACTTCCTTATAACGGATTTGTTATATGTCTATACTAATCGATGTTTGTTTGATCTGGGTTCTAAGCGATAATTTTTCACTAAATGAATAGCATTTGGAACTCTGCTTCAATTTCGTCTGATAGGAAAAGAACAGTACAGTACTTTGTGTATCAGTGGATTTTTACTACATTTTGAAAGGAAACGGGACCAAATTTGCAGAATTTGCGACATGGATTCCCTCAGCTGGTATCGTCATTGGCGTACGACTATGTATTGGGTCTTATGGCGGTAGGTACCAGTGATGGACAAGTTCGCATGTAAGTTTGAGCATATCCTCATCGATTATCTGGGCTACTTTGTACTGCGAAAAAACAAAAAATTCCGACGAATCCCTAGTCAAGCTAAGAAATTATCGATTCATTCGGAGAAATTATTCACTGGAAACGCATACACGGAGAGGTCAGGTAGTGTCTAGCATCAGAAACAGAAAAGCATAAGCAAGCGTGGTGGCATTCTTTACTTGAGCTCATAACTTGTAGTTGGCTTTTCATGCTCATGCCAATGAAAGACGCACTGAATTTTGGAACCTTGGTTCCGTAATGTCATGCATTGAACAACCTCACCCAACTAAATGCACTATCTCCCCAACTTTACAATTGCGAAGAATGCATGAAAATATGCATTTCGATGCATTTCTATGTTCACATTCATTTCTATGTTCACATTCCCGGAGATATTAATTTGATTTTCAAACAATTGTTTGAAAGATGTTGCTGGTTTCCTTAAGAGCAAATGTTTAGATTAGTTGCAAGAAATATTTGATGAGAACCAGTTCAAGCATATAAACAAATAGGGCAACAAGATATAAAGCATTGAAATAAGGCTTTATATCCGCGCACCATTCCCACTGCAAAATCATTCTTATGCTGTTGAGTTTTTGTTCCACTACCAGGTTGGTCATTTTCCAGCTGCTTTTTCCTTTTCACTTAGCTCAAGTTTCAAACATTAATACTTTGTTGAAATATCCCATTTATCCCGCATAATCTGCTTCATGTAACCACAGCTCTCGAAAATAACAAATATGCTTGGCGTGCACTTTGTAGGAGGTTTTCCTCGACGAATGTAATATTGTCAACAGAGGCAAGCACTCTGTGTCATTTTCCATCACCTTCCGCTAACATTTTACACTTACCTCAAAGCGTGTTCAAGTGGGCATGAAAAGTTGTACAGTAAATATCGTACTGAACGCACAGCTCGTATTGGTAGGCTACTTCTGGGCCACATAAATATGTACCTTTTTAATATTCGTCATTCGTATATTCGTCACTCACCAATATTGATGGCAGTTTGATAAAAGCAGACAGGGCATTTTATAATTCTGATAATAACTGATGACCTGGATTATCTTTTCGAAAACAAATGGAATATCTCTCAAACCTTGATTTTGCTTTCTTATACTACTGACAATCAATATATGAATTACTTGTGTCTAAGGATGTGAAGCTATTGGTCAGTAATTCGAAATGTGCAGCCACTCCTTTAGCTTTATCTCTCATTTGTTGGTTTCAAATTAACCAAATTTATAACTCTTTTGGGGTAGCAGTCTGAAAATTAACATGTGTTTTCCACTCTTAATCTACTAGTGACCAATTCTTTTATGTCGAATAGTGCCGCATATAAGGTCTGATGAACCTTTTTGCTTGCTTTTTCAAGAAGTGAAGCATTCCCCAGAATTCTGGAAGCATTATTGTTTTCGTTAGTGAACTTTTGGATAATTTTGTGATCGACTGTATAAATTATTGTATACTCTTGTAACCAGCGATTTAAGTTTTGTTATACAGGCATTCATTATCTAGGACCATAGATATCAGGGTATTAGCAATCAAAACCTTGATTGCAAGGTATGGGAAAGATTTTGGGATCAAGTAGCAAGCATTTGTGGTGGGAGCTATCGCAATGATTAAATTTCGTATTTCATACTCAGCAGACATGGACTGGTATACATAACTGGTGTGTATTATGCATTAGTTGAATGATAAGTTGGTAGTTTCAGATTGTTCCATGTGTTCGTTTTATTGTAATAAAATAGTATAGTTATAGATTTGGAGCAGAAAACGTGGAATGGAGTTCAGCGACACCTCGAAATACTCCCATTGCTCATATGTATTTCGCTGCAGGCCTGGGCTCTCTTATTGTGCTTTGTTCGGATCAGTCTTTTCATAAATTTCAGATTGCTGGTGACATAATTGAGCGTACCACTGCTACTACTGAAGACAGGTAGTTACTACTACTGTGGTGAACATAACAGGCTCTTTCAAATTATAAAAAAATTTTTTTCGATAGTAAATCAGTCTTGTCAAAAAAGCCAAAGCACTGATCTCTGAATGTCTTGCTAATAGCGAGAAATTTTCAACAATTATATGCCTGGGTTTTCGGCTCATTTTCATTACGCTTTTAGGTTGAAACGGATAACATGCTGTGAAATGCAAAATCCGCAGGACCCGACGAATGCCCGTCTATTTATTGGTACTATTACGGGTAATATATTTGGATTGTATGCTGCTTCGCTCGAATTCTCCGAAGTGTTACTTTTTGAGGAGACAGTTGTGAAAAGGTTGACAGTTGTGATTTCGAACAGCACTGTTTTCTTTTTCCTAGCTTCAGAATCAAAGTTCGAAGTCGAATTTAAAGATTTTTGAAGTTTAAAGTTCTTCATTATACACCTTCTACAATTGTACATTCAGCATCAACCCTTCAAAAGACGTTGGAAGATCGGCTAATCAGATTGTGGTGAGTCCGACTGATGCTAGTCAAGTCCTGATTGCATTCAACAATCATATCATTGTTCATTACAATTTGCTGAACAGTGAGGTGCTCCATCATTGGATTGTTCAGCAAACAATTACTGTATGCTATTTATTTTCATTACCTTTTGCTATTGGTTTGACCTTCAAACATGTAATTGAAAGATGGTTTAACAATATATGTGCATTAAATTTCTTGTTTTGCTTCTGAATTCAAATCGATTGTTGATTTAAACTAATTGGTCAGCTATTAAATTGTCTATGCAGTGTGCATCTGTGTTTATTTCATGTGTTGTTGAAGTGGGCAAGATCGCTTTATCCATAACATAGTTGTTTTATTTTAGACACATTTTGGTATTGTCCATCAACGTTCTGACTAAAAAACAAGCATAGTTTTAACTATTTTGTTACTGATATTGAGTAACTGGTATGATAAGCTTATTATTCATTTGATTGTCGATCTGTCCTCTCATGTTTGCAGTCTTTAGTTGCTGTAATAACTTTAACTTTGAAAGTTTCTTAATTTATGTTCCTTAATTTAATCCTTTTCAGAGTTTTGCCTGGCATGTTGATGGAGAATATTTCATTTGTTCGCATAGTGATGGCTCCTTAGGCACATGGAAGATTCAGTGTATGGAACCTATGGAACCATCTGTCATACCATTTGGCCCGTTTCCATGTACTTCCATTAACAAAGTACGATGGATCTGTGGGTCCAGGTATAATATGAGACATATTCTTTATTTAAAAATGCGTTACCGTTTTCTCAACTCTTGCGAAAACATTTAAGATTGCTTTTTGATAATTTCAACAGTATTTTGTTGACCAATGTCCAGCGTGAATTTGATTTTTCCAATAAAACCACCAATAATGGAGAATGATGTATTGAAGTTTCACGTTTTAATATGTTGCATTGTACATCAGAAAAAAAAAAAGGCATAGAAAATTTGATTTTTGTTCTCCTCTGTGATACGTGAAGCATTCAGAAATAACCAGTTTAGAAATTTTAGAAATGAAAAATGAAATCTTTACGAGTCATAAATCTCCATTCATCGTAACCTACTGATAAAACGTGAAATTCCGGTTCATCATATGGGAAATTTAACTTACCTCTAAATATTCTTTGCATGACTTATTCGTAAGCGATTATGGCTTTAATGTTTGATAATGCAGATTTTACAAAACCCACGGGCATTTAGTGCTCTGTGCTCTCTCCTGTATATATGTTGGGCTAAAGGTTGTGATATTCTGATGAAGTAGAACTCTTTAAGTTTGATTTTTTTTCTTTCATTCGTTTTGCACAGTGTCGTTTCTTTTTGTTTTCTATTTTTTTTTTTTTGNGTGTG